ACACAACTCATCGACCATATAAAAAGTGAACTTGCTCATCTCATGACATATTGAATATGCTGGTTTTATTTAAGAATAATAGTTTTCAATTAGTAGTGGACTAGTGGGTGGAGGTGAAAGAATTTGAAGCAAGATCACATGCCTGTGATAAAGATGCTGACAACAATGATTTCTTCTTGCCATTTGCCAGCCATGAGAGACAACTCTGCAATCCCCAAGGATAGTCCCCCGGCAGAAAAAGTCCCGATTGCCCTATTAAATCCTTTGCTAAGAGTTGCCCCTATACACATACAAATCAACAATAAGATAAGGGCTCTAACCACAAAGGTTTCCATTTATGAGTTTCAAGTTAAGAATCGGAATAAGAAAATTAACAAATTTTAAAAGGCATTGACTGTAGGCATTTGTTCGATTCGTCATATTGATTTTTTAAGAATGGCTTTTGTTAAGTCATACCACATGGCCACATCATTCAAATATCAACAAGAACCCATATCATCCTACTTTGTAAAGTCCCACAAGTGAGGTCTCAACATGGGTGTACCCATACCGTATCCCTACCTATAAAAGGTAGGAAATTTGTTTCCAAAATGCCATATCCCAACACATCGCCAAATATGAAGATACAAAACAACATACTCCCTCCGTCCCCTCCCACTAATAATGTTCTCATTGACAATTTGAATGGGGATGGAGGGTGGGTGTAAGGCGTTGAACTACAACTAGGAGTTCTTGTACGACCTTTTCTCAAATGTCTGACCTAAGGTATCAAAGTCTTACTAGACTGAAGCAAACAATTTGATCTTGATAAGTCTAAACACTAAGCACAAAAACTTAAAAGCTTCAACCAGCTACCGTCTTGCCAGACAGGCTAAAGCATACTACATTACTACCTCTGTCTCACAGTGTTGTTCGAGTTTTGACTTCTTACCATCAAAATTAACAAACTTTGAACATAAATTAAATAAAAGTAATACAGATCATTAGATTTTGGTACAGAAAATAATTTTATATATTATCAAAATATTGTTCCGTCTAACTAATATACCATATACGGAGTAATTTTTATTTAATTATACGTTAACGGGTTTAAAAGATCAAAACGGCACAAACATTCTGGGACGGGATGGAAAGCAACATCGGCAGAGCATAAAGACACAAACCAACATATCACAAATCCTATGGAAACCAAATCTGGGAGAGAAAGAACTTACCTATGCTGAATTCGAAGACGACAACAACAGTGAGGATGGCCCAAACGGAGCGAGTGCCAATGTAGCTGAGGGGTTCCTTGAAGAAGACGAGGAGAGAAACAAGGGAGAGAGCCAGGCCCATCTTAGCCGCAAACACCACCTTGCGCGGATCTTTCCGGCCCATGTCGTACGCCTTGATCAACCCCTCCTTCACATCTCCGAAGAACCGCGAGATTCTGTCGCGAAACCCTCGGCCGGCGGGTTGACCCGGAGACCCGAATCCCAGTTCCGAGGAATACCCATTCCCGGATAGCAATCTTTCTCTGCTTGCTTGCATGAAGATCTGCGTGGGTGATTGCGAATCATTAGTATTGATTGCTGCCATGGTTTCTGCAACCTAGTCTCGTGGAGACGATGATAATGGTGGTCTTTAGGTCTTCGAAATCCCAAATATTTGGAATCGCGAACTCGGAATGCTGACAGATTTGAGGAGAACATGGGGGACAAGTACTTGTTCACATGGATAATATGGAACATGATTACAGGAGTATATTAATGTAAGATCAGCGCCAAAAACTATACGCAAATGTTTTTTTCATTGGAACTTGTCAACCAATCAGTTTCTTAATTTATTTCAGATTTGTTTTCAAATAAAAATTTACTTTTGATTATTTGATTTGATTTTTACGAATCAAATGGAACGAATTTTAAGCTTTAATTAAACAAAAATCATAATATATACACCGCATATTTGTATAAAAAATGATTTCATTAGATTTTTTTGTTAAAAATTTTTAAAATTTTATTTCATTATAGTATAAGTGAATCTCAAAATTTAAATATTTTGATTCAAAAAAGTCAAATAAGATAAATATACTAAAACGAAGGTAATACAATTTCAAAAATGTATAATTTTCGTAATACATTTCTAGATTCTGCTCTTATGTTGTATATGATATAATATGATGCGGAGTATTATGATATGATGAGTAAAATAACGGTGAATATATTTAGTAGTAATTAATCATTACTAGATAAGTTGAGAAGGTATATTGTGTATTTATCTTCAAATAGATAAATATATCTTCTTAAAAAGTAGAAATTTCCAAGAAAAGAAGGTAAATGGAGAGTTAAATTGGGGTTTGTTGCCTTCATTTGTTTCTGGCTATTTTTTTTAAATTTAAAAACGCTATAAAAATCTAAGTTCTTGGGAAAAATTAGAGTATCAATTGTAAAATAATCAAATATTTTTTTTATGTCCAATTGTAAGGATGCGTATTAAATATTTACAATAATCATTCAAACAAGAATACAAAAAACAATAAATAAAGTAACTGACAAATATTTCAAAAAACAATAGAAGTAAACTTGTGTTTGGATGAGGTGAAATTAGAGGGAAAGAAAATGTTTGGGAAGAAAACACAATTCCCATAAAACTTTCTTCTGTTTATTTGCAGGAGAAAATGGGAAGAGAATGGAAAGGGAGAAGTGAAAAGTTTTCTCTCCTCTAGAGGCGAGAAAATTGGCCAAAGGGAGAGAAAAGTTTGAAAATGACATTTTTACCCTCCACTATGTTCACTTTCCATATAGAATAAGGGTAAAATTGTCTTTTTATTTTAATACATTTTTTGTCCTCTTACCTTTTCTCTCTATTTTTTATCTATCCAAACAACATTTATTTTCTTTCCATTTTCTTTCTTCTCTATTTTCTTTCCATCCATTTTTTTCCCACACATTTTCTCTTTTTATCCAAACAATGTATAAAAGTATTCCTCCCCAAATACTATGTGTAGACTCCACTCGTTACCACAATACCACCAATCGTCTACGTTTTTATACACATTTTCTATAATCATTTAATCTATGATAGAGGGGGTGGTTCGGGTGAAATGAATCCCCGTGTCATTTTATGAACGGGACCCGATTAAGGCATTTATGATGTTTCATTCAAAAAATTGATAGTTCCTACCTCTTCTAATCACCTGATAAATTCTTCTTCCCCGACCCGGCCGAAACATACTCCCGCACTCCCGTCAATTGCATGCCACGAGATTTAGTTGACATTGGAATCAAAATTTGACTTCAAAATCAACTAAATCTTGTGGCATGCAATTGACGGGAGTACGAGGGTGTGTCCCGACCAGGCCGGGGGTAGGGGATTTACTGAGAATTTAAGGCGGGAAGAAATCATTAATTTTTTAAGCAAAGTATTATATGAATCTCAGGTTATCTTATGACATTGAATCTCAATATGACGAGAACCAAGGAGACAAAGTACGGGTATTATTTTTCTCTATGAACTGGGGAAACTTGTGGTCTTATCCCTCGAAGACCGTTAAATGGCGGGCCCCAAAATGGAAGGGCGCTTAAAAATGATAGACACATGATGGGCCGAGCTGAATCAGCTTGATGTGGAGCTTGATAAGTTGGTACAACAACTTCTGCTATTTGCACTCAACTCCCTTTTTCTTTCATTTATCTTCCTAAATTATCCCTCAACATCTTATTATCTACACTTCATTATCTATGGAAAATTAAATTACCCCATCATTGAATTATTTACTCCCTCCGCCCCCTAAGATGTTCTCATTTTGACTTTTGGTAGTTTTTAAAAGGAGTTGAAAAAGATGAAAATTTACCATAATACTCATAATGAAAAATGGGTGGAGTGTATTAAATGAAGTGGGTGAGATGTAATAAATAAAGTAAGTGGGGGTAGTTGTGGTATTCTAATTGTTTAAAAATGAAATGAGAAGATCTATTGTGGACAAAGAAAAAGGGTTATTAAGATGATATATGAGGGACGGAGGGAGTATCATTCATGCCTAGGATTTTCAATTTTTCCAATACCATAACAATTTACGGCGCGATTCTTGTGACACTGAGACCAATATCATAAAATGATTTGAGGCTCACACGATGTTCTGAGAAGTTTTGATGAGTGTTAAAGAAATGAAAACTATCAATTTAACAAGAGAATTACATAAGCAGTTCAAGTTATACTATATACAACCATGCCAGGAGTACACCTAGAAATACTCTTCCCGTTTTTTAAAACGGTTCTTATTTTGACTTTAAGACAAAATAAAAAAAATGTAATTTTAGTTGACTTTTCAATTTTGCTCCTGATATGATGGATAAAAATAAGATGTGATAGTTTAGTTATTAGTGAAAAAGTATGATGTGATATACTCCCTCCGTCCCTGAGTGTTTGTCCACTTTCATTTTTGCACACCATCCAATGCACTTCTTTAATCCATTTTATCTTGTAATTTATATATTAAAAAATTATAAAAATTATATATTAATAATCTATATGTTAAGACGAATCAAACAAAATCACATATGACTATTTTTAGGCTTACACATTGAGAGAATTTGATGAGTCAAAGTGCTTAGATGAACAGTTCCAAAAGTCAAAAGTGGACAAACACTCAGGGACGGACCAAGTACTCCCTCTATTCTCAAAAACACTTCTTCTTTCATTTTTTCCACTTCCAACAAAACACTTCCCTTTTCTACTAAAAAACCACTTTTACCCTTACTTTTTCATACCCTACCTATCACATCATACTTTTTCTCTAATAATCTATCCATCACATCTTACTTTTACCTATCACATCAGGGGCAAAATTGGAAATCAACTATAATTTAACACTTCCTTATTTTTGCCCCAAATCCAAATGGGAAGTGTTTTTCCAAACGGAGGGAGTATATGGTATGAAAAAGTAGGGATAAAAAAGGGTTCTTAAATAGAAAAAGAAAGTGTTTTAAAAAAACAAAAAAAATGAAAGAGGAAAGATTTTAAGAAACAGAGGGAGTATATTCTAAGAAACGGAGGGAGTTAGACGGGGATGTTGGACATCGTGTTGGAGTGGCTTGGGCCAAATGGCGGTTGGCTTCAGGGGTATTGTGTGATCCGAAGATTTCGTCTAGGATGAAAGGTAAGTTCTACCGATCCGAAGATGTCGTTCATTTATTTCGAACACGTACTTTCACGGAGAAGCGTACGGCACTCATCTTTTCTCTACAGTTGTTTCACAATTAAAACAAAATTACTCTGAAATGCGAAGCCAACAACAAAAGAGAGACAAATTTTGGAGCTTATTCAGATCAAGAGACATTGCATCTGCACATAAACAGACACATATATAGATAGATAGATAGATACACACTTTGTAGTATTATTATTAGTATTAATTAACACTATTATTACACAATACCAGATGATGAACCTTAATTATATTTCTATCTGCCAACCCCCTCCCCCCCTGCTGCACTTAGGTCTATTTATTTATTTATATATTTATTTATATTTATATTTATTTATTTATTTATGGGACAGAAAGGGCATGCAGGAGTCTTTGAGGAAGTTTAGTGGCTGGATGATTCAGAGACTGGGGGGGTCAGGTTTTTCCAAACCCTCAAGGGGGCGGAAGAAGGCTTTCTGATCCAATGCGGAGCCCGGAAGGGTAGCGGTAGAAGCCGCCTGCAGGTGGTTGGCCGTGTCGGGCCCAAACACGCCGGTGTGAGGGTGCGGAGCCCAGTACTTGTCGGATTGGGCCCGCTGGATTATCTCGTCCGGGACCGGCGAGTGTGGGGCATGTTCCTCCGGGTTCTTGTCGTAGGCCGATGCGTGCACGCCCCTACTGCACCATGTCAAAATAAAGCCAATTAATTATAAATGCTCTTGAATTTACGTAGATAATACTAAAACATAATGACTTTCCTTAAATACCATTACATGAGTTGTTTTTTCCAATGTATAATAGCACTTTTAGTAATTATCCATTAGTCATTATTCAAGTAAATCTTCACGATCACTGAACATTATTAAGGGCTATTTAGAAAATAAAACAATTTAAGTACAATTTAGGAAAATGACTTAAATTTTAGAGTTTTAGTGTTATTTAGTGTAAATAGAAAATATGGAAAGTAATTTCACATTCATAATATTTGGTAAAATAATCATATTCAATTCCACTTTAAAAGTAATGGGGTGGAGTATTTTTAACTTGGGTAAGTGATGTTCCGATTCAAGAACTCCGAAATATTTAATAGAAAATTTAATTAATTAACATCGTTAAGTAACCCAATATAGATAAATCTATAATCATATCAATTTTTTGACATCTAAATGTTTTATGGATGCATATATAATGGTTGTCCATCAATGTGTATAAATTTATGGTGTACTCCAAATTCTCTATCCAGCTTGCAAATCAGTGTATCACAGACACACCTGTATATATTTCAGACTCGTTTGAATTAGGAACATTGTTTTCGACTGGCGGTAGTATTTTACATAAACTTTAACGTACGATACAGTATAGAATAACTTTGAAAACACTAACACTAAACGATGTTCATAGATGACGTTTTTAAAACGATAACATAAATCTCTAACGTTGTTATTTCCAGAGAGATCCTACAACACCATCAATGTACCCGCCTATATAGGGATCAAATTATCAACAACTACACTAGTTCATTGACATAAAAGATGGGACAAGTCACAAAATACGTGTAGTATTAAATAAACTACTCGTATAGTAATAAAGACGTTTTCCTCAACCACTACTCTGCATGACCACACATCAACTAAAACGGTAACCACACTCTTTCAATTCTAGCTATCCTAAAATAAATGTCAACTTCAAGAATGTTAGGTATTTTTTTTTAAAAAAAATGAATGATTAAATTTTAAGTCAAATAAGGAGAATTTTAATTTATTCCTCAAAAAGAAAAAAATTTATTTTAGAAAAGGAGGGTTATTTGTTACTCCCTCCGTTCCTAAATATTCACAACATTTGCTTTTTCAGCAGTAGCAGAAACTTTTGTTTGTTTCTACGTTTTCATTGGTTATTTGATAAAACAAAATATTCTTGACACCTCTTATTTCGAAGAACTTTTCATGTAGTTTTTTGATATGTAATTTTTATTTTTTATTTCTTTACAAATACGTAAATAAAATGAATTGAAAAAACTTGATATTTTGTCTCGGTAATAGAAATGTGACAAATAATTTAGGAGAAAGAAGTAAAAAAGAAGAATGATTTTTCAATAGTGATATTTTGTTCCAGTAAAAAAGAGGAATAAATTTTCACAACAGTTAAAAGATATGGGTACGGTTGATTCACAAAGTGGAGATAAATCCAACCCCACATGTCCAATCCCAAACCACTTCTCCACTCCATTTTCACATGTTAATTTAATTACACTTGCTAGTACTACTACCACTACAATAATACAACAAATCTCGTACTCCCCATGGGTTGTCATTTGACATCAATACCCCCCATTAGATTGAGACCTAACCAACTGACATATTAATCGTTCGTTCAACCTTACGAACATGTTCCAAAAACTTATGTTTTTTTTTCAAAATCCCGTTTTAAAATAAAAATATTCTATTTACAAGTTCGTATGTTAAATAAAAAAATAAAAATTAAAGAATACATATTTAAAAATTACATCAAAAATTCTACCAAACATAGAAGAAGTGACAAGAACATTTTATTTCATCATTGATCAATGAAAATAAGTAAACAATTAACCAAACGTTTTCAAGATATCAGAATATAAAATAATTGTGACGATAAATCTACAACGGAAAGTATTTAAGTATTTACTTTAAAAAAAGAAACTAAAAATTGTTTATATCCATGGTAAACAAATGTTTTTTTTGGCTTATACCAGAGTCTAATATGGACCTGAAATCAAGAGAAAGAATTTGACAATTCAAACATAGCCAATTGTCCCTCTCAATTCATTAAGACACGAGCATGGTATTTCTCGGAGTATTTTTTTTTTCAATTTCATTTTTAATTTTTAAAATTGGTGACTATAGACAAGAAAATAATCCTAAACGAGCTTCATTAATTAATTAAAATTGTTGTCTCCAATTTCAATTCTATAGCTCGAATTTCATATACCAAACGGATCCTCACGCAATTTAATTTTTAATTTTTCAATTAATTACCAGCTTCCCTCCTTTGCACAACAGGGAAATGAGTGATTTTTTTAAAGTCAAAACCACAGAATCAATAAAGTAAAGATTAAGCACAAATCTCATCGATAGTATATTTGTCTAGTTTGACTTTTTCGAGTCAAACTAGACAAATTTTGAACTTTAATTAAATAAAAACAGTAATGTATTTTAACATAAAAGACTTTATTAGATTTTCAAAATTGTATTTCATTATGCTTATATACAATATAAATTGAGAGTAATTGGAGTTCAAATTTTGTCCAATTTGACTGAAAAAGTAGTAATAAAAAAAGATCTGGAATCGGAAACAAACCTAAACAGGGGAGCCGACGATGACGGGGAATTGGCGCGAGTTACAATCTTCCTCCCGAAAAGCTTCCCCAGGCCGCCGGCGATTCCACTGCTCTTCTGCAGATTGGCGGCCATATACAATTCAGCTGGAATCTTAGAGAGAGAGAGAGAAAGAGGAAAGAGGGCCTGGTTCCTTTCTAGAGAGAGAGAGAGATTGAAAATTCTTGTCACGGGATAAACGGAAGTAAAGGGGGGGGCTCCGTTATATAAAGAGGGCGGCGGTACGGGCCGTGCTGCCTACCGGACACCTGTCTCGCCACTCTTTTCACAAATCCACCTACCCAACCTTCTTGCCTGTACTACGGCCTGTCTACGGATGCTCCCGTTCCGTTAAAACGTTTTACGCCGTTACCCAGGTTTATTATTCCGTCGTTTGGTAGGAATATACGATTTGGATATACCCAAATACGCACTCGTACTAAACGCGTCTGACGTATCAATATACGGCCGCGTCGGAGTTAAATTTTGAAAGAAAACAAATAGTAAAATAAAAGTAAAACATTAAAAATATTTCAAAATAGAAAAATCGTGTTTTTCTTTCAAAAAATTAAAGTTTAAATGCATTTTCAATACCAATATAACAATATATACTCCGTACTAACAAGTATTGTAAAATGTATATTTATAGTGCTACGTAACTTACTCCACACAATAAAGTACTTCGTTATCATTAAAAGAGCTTTCTGTTTTTTTATTAAGACAAAAGTTTGCATTGTAATAATTTGACATTTTATATGGATATTTTATAATAACCTTTTTGATAATGTATTTGGTCATGATTGAATATATTTTAAACTTTTTTTTTGAGACAAAAATATGAAACTTTTATTTTGGTATATTTTTAAATATTTTATTCATACTCTAGTATTTTTCCCATTCTTTTTGTTCAAACAAATCTTACCATTTGAATTTTTGATTCTGATAAAGTTATTGTACAAATTTTCAAAAAGAGTTTTAAACTCAAAATATATAAATGTCATAAAACTTCGACATATCAAAATCATCTTAAATGAATCTTAGTATATTAAATTTACTAGATATATATACCCATGCACACTATTGACTTATTTTGAAATTAAAATTGTTAAATAATTTCAAAGTAAATATTTTTATAATTCAAATGGCTTAAATGTTCTAAACGCAATTCTTTTATGTAGTACGACTTATTAAAAATCATATATTGTAATTAAATATAAATATGTCTTGAAAATTTGCATTTAGAATGTGCTTCCTCCGTCTCTGACCATTTGTTCATTTTTTTTATTTTTTCAGTCAAAATTAGCAACATTTACCCTCAAATTTAATAAAAATTATATTAGATATTGATACAAATATACTTTTATTATATTTATTATATAACACGGAGTATATTTTTAAAATATTACTTTATAAAACTAATATACAATATATATTTTATTTAATTATAAATCAATGATTGAAAATAATTGACTGAAAAAATTGAAACTGGACAAGTAATCAAAGAGGGAGATAGTAAGATTTAATAAAATAACTTGGACCTCCCCTCTTGTACTATGCTCTTTTTGCAAGCATTTAGAGGGTGTTTAGCAGTGTGCTGTTTTTAATAATTTAGCTTCTGCTTAGTGTGGAAGTGATTTTACTCTGTTTGGAATGTCAGCTTCTGCTTTTAACCACCACTAATTTGTACATAGAACACCGTTTCGGAGAAGCATGTATGAGGTGCTTTTATTTTCAGCTTTTGTGGAAATCACTTTATCCACAAGTTAATCACTCTCAAACACCATCTTAGAGTGTAATTGAAAAAAACAGTTACTCCCACCGTCTTAGAGTAATATTTTAGAGAAGAATACAATTAGCAAGGTATACTATCAACTTAAAAAATAAGTAATTTGTTTCATCAAGATATATAAAAAATGCAAATGGTAAAAAAATTCAAATGGTTCATCAATACATTCTCTTTGTTGCAAGTTATATGTCTTTCAAAATATTCAAGTTAAAACCTAATTTTTAGTAGCACATTTAAAAAGGAAATAAATTATTTATTTATTTAGAATGGATGTTTAAAAAAAGAGACAATTAATGCGACAACTTGAGGATCGTATCAGTTAAATAAAACGTGTACATTTTACAAATTATTGGTACAAAAAGACTCTAATTATATTTGTCTTGTAAAATATTTTGAAAACATATTATTTGATTTTTTTGATGTGAAAAGTTTTATCATTGATTAAGAGTATTTGTTCAATTTTAACTATTTACCATCAAAATTAATAAACTTTATATAACCATTATATAAATAAAATTGATACCAGTTACGTATTTGATAGTTTTGTCACATCTTAACTAACATGTCTAAATTAATTGCAAACAGTTTAACAAAAAAGAAGGCAGGACGGAGGGAGTATTAGATGGAGTATAAAACTAGTGCATGAACGCTTCAAGGTTGCCAAAAAAATAAAAAATCGTGACAATTAGAAAAGAATAATCTGTTGTGGAGTTACTTGTTTTATTATCCCTATTTATCTTCTTTAAGTATCCGTTTGGTATAAGGAATTGGTGGAATTGGAATTGAAATTCCATGCGATTCAATTCCATAGAATTGAATTCTGGTAATTCCAATTCATTTTTTGCACTATCAATTCCAAATTCACATAATTTTTGTGGTACCAAACACCAGAATTGGAATTGAAGTCCCAATTCCAATTCCATAATTTGAATTCCATGTACCAAACGGGGCCTAACTGTACTATTTTATTTTTCATTGTTGGTCTTCTCTGCCACAAATTCTTTCACTTACAAAAACAATTGATGCTAATTACTTTTACTACCTCCGTCCCAGAATATTTGTCCACTTTCATTTTTGCACACTATCCAATACACTTCTTTAATCCATTTTATCTTGTAATTTGTATATTAAAAAATTATAGAAATTATATATTAATAATCTATATGTTAAAACAAATCAAACAAGATCACACATGACTATATTTAGGCTTACACATTAAAAGAATTTGATGAGTCAAAGTGTTTAGATGAACAATTCCAAAAATAAAAAATGGACGAATATAGCGGGAGGGAGGGAATAGTTGATATGATGATCATGTTGCAAAACAGAAACAATAATGGGAGATATCATGGGTAGTGCTTCAGGAGTGTTTTTTAAAAGATAATTTAAACTGATAAAAAAGAAATTTCATAATCATCAAGTATTTAAACAATTATACGGAGTGATTTGTAATAAAATATTCTAAAAATATTAAAATATTCTATTCAGCAGTTTTAAAAATACAATTATCTTAGTTCAGTTAATGTTTTAGAGTTTTACATTTTACATTTTTACAATAATGCCTCACAAGAAAGTGGGGCTAACTGATGAGTGTGTGGAGCTCAGCCTGCCACACTCTCTATAGTCTATCCACAATACCCCCCACGTATTTTCGCCACCATATCCAAAAAAACACTCGCAATTGTAAAGCAAAATACAAATGTCATCGACGGCGGTTGTTGCCGCCGGCACATCCATCTCCGCCGCATACTCCAGGGGCACATCAGTCAGAAAACCCTCTTCTTCATGCGTTCCCCAATCCCAGGTGATCTTCTCACATTCTGGACAGCTTCTTTATTCAATTTCATCTGTTTTCGAATTCCTCATCCAATTCGTTATGCATAATTGGGTATAGAAAACTAGTTTTCAAGGGCTGTCACTTCAAGAATCCAAAAAGGGCATCTCCAATTTGTTCTCTGTTGATGATAATGGCGGTTTGATCATACCCAGAACAAGCAGAAGGAGAAGAAATAGAGGGCTCGAGATCAATGCGAGAGCGGCTGCCGCCAAGAACATTGAGGTTGAAGTTGATAAGCCTTTGGGGCTCACTCTTGGTCAAAAATCCGGCGGTGGGGTTGTCATTACCGTGAGTAGTTTGTCTTTCTTTCTTTCTGTAATTTTCAAATATTTTGGCACATTGATAACTTGAATTCTTTATGAACTGTTTATGAAAGCTTAATTTGGCAATAGGTTTTGTTGGTAGAATCTTGAGATTTCGACCCATAACCGATTCGAGATGAGTTGTGAAAATACAAACCCAACATATAAGATCTTAAGTTACTACTACTTCAATAAGCTTGACCTTATGATGGATGGTTTTAGGGTGTAGAGAGTGGTGGGAATGCAGCCAAAGCAGGGCTCAAGGCTGGTGACCAGGTGCTATACACCAGCAGTTTTTTCGGGGACGAACTTTGGCCCGCTGACAAGCTTGGGTTTACTAAGACAGCAATCCAGGCCAAGCCTGATTCGGTCTACTTCATCGTTAGCAGGTAAGTAAGGATCCTATTGTATCCAATGTTATAGATAAGGCTTCGACACGAGACTGATTTTGGACATTGGAACACCAATGGTATAGACCTTGTGTGCATGACTTTAAGATGTTAGTTTTTCACATAAATTTTGTGCGCAGGGGAGCTGAAGTAGATGTTAAAAAGCTAACAAAGCGGCCTGCCCCTCCTCGCTTCGGGAGGAAGCTAAGCGAGGCTCAAAAGGCAAGTTTGAAGGGTTTCGTTTTTCAAATCATTCTATTTTATTTACAATAACAACAACCCGATATAATCTCAACATCGTTGGGTTTTAGAGGTCAAGATGTGCATAGTCTTTCCCCATACGTATATAGAGAGATTTTTTTCGTTGGACCCTCGTTGCATTTATTACTACCCAACACTTCATTGAACGTAAGAAGAAAAGAAAGTTTAATGTGCCATGTTGATCTAGTCCATTATTTACCCGGAGCTAAAAACACTCCATTGTTGTTGTATTTATATTTGTTTCAATAAAGCTAGGGTAAACCCAACGTTTTGGGGTTACCATGACCCCAAGCTTTGCACTGACACGCACATATAGTTATTTTGTGTGCCATACATACAATAATAGTCTGTATGTGTTTGTGTAAAGCTCGGGGTCATGGTAACCCCAAAATGTTGAGATTACCCTAGCTAGCAATGCATGACTCGATTTGTTTTCCCCAGGCTCGAGCAACACACATATGCCTGGATTGTGGTTACATATACACGTTGCAAAAGCCTTTCGAAGAGCTGCCGGAGGAGTACACATGTCCGCAGTGTAGGGCGCCTAAGAAGAGGTTTGCAAGGTATGATGTGAACACCGGAAAACCCATCGGCGGGGGGTTGCCGCCACTCGGAGTTATTATTGGGCTTTTGGCTGGGATAGGTGGAATTGGGGCCTTACTCCTTTATGGACTTCAATGAAATTGATGAAGATTCAGTGAACAATCCAAGCCAGCCAGTGTGCGTGCGTGTGTGTGTGTGTCATGCAAAGTAAAATTAGTTACTGGACTTTGTTGTTTGAGTTATGAAATGTATAAATAAAGTAAAATTAGTTTGACTTCTGAATAGTAACTAGGAAGATTAATATGAGAGGAAGGAATTATTTTTACTGGAAATAAAATTGCAAACTCATTCCCAAATATAAAAATTATAATGTTACAAAAGGATGTGACATTGGCGTCGAATGATAGCATTATCTGAGACTCCTACGAAGCTCAATTGGTAAATTTAATAATTTCTACCCCTCAATCCTCCTTAAACGCCATGCATCCCCTGCATCCCCCAGCCCCCCCTCTCCCGGCTCGGATCATTCAATGACATTGAGTTCAATGTCACAGGAACCAACTCGTTTTTATACACTAATTATTACACTAAGAGCATCTTTAATGTAAGGCTCTTAAGAGTCTTAACTAAACAAATTGATGTGGAGCTTATATGGAGCACATGAGGAACTTATGTGAAGCACTAAGCGCTTCATTTATCAAAGGTGTTGCTTAGTGAAGGAATCGTATCTTAGTTATGAACTCTTCCTAAGCAACTCATACTAAGAGTTTGTTTTTTAGGACTTAAAAAAAAGAGCTTGTTCTTTATGTATATATTACGCAGTAAATTTTATTTTAAAAAAAATCAATATATACTTTGTATATTTTATTTTAAAAGTATTTCGTTTATAAGGAAGTATATATTGATATATTTTATACATCAATATATACTTATAAGGAAGTATATACTTTGTATATTTTATTTTAAAAGTTTTTTTAGAAGGAAGTAGTTTTTTTTATTTTTATATTATTTTTTTGAGAAATTCCAGAAATAAGAAAGTAGTAAAACTCCGTTGTAACTCCACCGTCTCACGCTTAGGACATCAGAGCGAATCTACAGCTTTGCTTCCCCCAGAAATTCTCTCAGAGAGAGAGAGAGAGAGGAAGAAGAACAGCGCGGGAAATGGAAAGGAAGGCAATATTAATCTGCTCTGTGGTGGGGTTTCTAGGGCTATTATCTGCTGTCACTGGATTCGCAGCTGAAATCACTAGGATCAAGGTAAATTCAATTCATTCGGAGAGCTAAGATCTGATATTAGTTTATGTCTCTGTATTTCCGTTGAATTGTATGCATACATGTTTCAATCCGATTGATTCCATACATATATTTGCTTGATTTTCGTATCTGTGGCCTCTAACTCGTTAGTAGTTGAAATTATTCACCTATCTATACAGCTTAGTTCGGCTTTGTTTGAGTAAAAGGTCAATCTCCTATTAAGTTCTTGTTTGAACTCAGTTCTCGATGTTTTGTTTAAATTTATATACCTCTATGAATTGAATTACTAGACTTGGATTATTCAGAAAAGAGTTGCTGAGAATCAGATAACATAACCCATCTGCTCTTTGCTGAAACGACTAAAATGATTGAAGAATTGGCTTGGTTACAAGTGTTTGTTGAGTTGAGTAAGTGCCTAAAAGTGTATGCACCGAGTTTTGTATTTGAGGCAATGCGAAAAAGTTAAGTTAGACCTGTGGTTTTGGCTGAAGTTAGCTGAAAATTTAGGTGCCGAGTGGACTGTTCGGCTAAAAATAGTAATCAGCCAGATCAGGGGGTGTTTGTTGTTCTTGGGAAATTTTTCAAGCAAATAAGCGCAATTGGGCATGGAACACACTCAAAATCAAATTTTTAAAAATGAGATTTCACTCAACTAACCACTAAAACCCCATGGTGCACTGAAGGCATCTGGTGGCCCCGATTTCAGTGATTGTCATAACTAGGGAATCCACTAATTCTCGTGTTTTCCATATGTATGTCAATATGTCATTATGTTAACATATTTGATAGAGTTTGGAGTAATTACTTTAAAAAGTCAAAATAAATGCTCTCATGAAGTTTGCATTAAAAGAAATTATCATCTTCCAAATATATGATATACTCCGTATATGATATACAAACATTGGGTTGCTTGGTTTAACTATTCCAAATCATAAATACAAGAGAAAATCTGCCAATTTTTCTACTCCATCCTTCAAGTTTTGAATACCATGTTATAACGAGATAAGAGCAAAGATATTCATAACTTAGTGTCATAAGAGTAATATTATCTTTAGGTTTCTTGAGTAAAGTTCGTATATTTAGGAATTATGTGAAAATTTAAATAACTATTTGTTTAAGTACAAGAACCTAGAGAGAGTATTAGTTTACAAGCTTAATATGTCAACGCAAGTGAAAAATAACTTCAAATTATCTGACCCAAGTCCATACAGCTATAGAGAATAGATCATACGGAGTAAGTAATAATGTAGAGATGAAACTATATGAATCCTTTGTACATTGATAGTTTGATCCCTTCTCTAGGCATGGACAATGTGTATTTACAGTACATGGGTGGGGTAGTTACGATCCACAGTTCATGGAGCTAATTATGGATTGTAACTAGCCACATGTAGATGCACCTCTCTGTCTTGACCTAGCCTTGCCCCCTACTCCATCCAACCTCTCCGGAGTCCGGATAAGCCTCGCTTCTGGGTCGGGCTATCCACATCCCATATCACACAGGCTTTTGTCTTGCTTCTGGGTCGAGTCCCCATGCCACATGTCGTGTGGGCTTCCTTGGTTCGATGGATCGGGCTCTGCATCTTGGGCCTAAGTACATAAAATAATACATAAAATGGGCTGGGTGTATTGGGATTGATTTGTTTATACATCTGAGCGGGTCCCAATATACCCTTTACTAATAAATAAATAAATAAATAAATAAATAAAAACTTGATGTATATAAAAACTCAGGCCTTTTTATGACTAGATCAATCTTCTTCACGCCTCTGACGGACCACGTAAAAAAATTATTGAGTTTTACTCTTCCCAGCTAGTAGGCAAGACATTTTCTCTCCGCCTCATGCTTAGGCTCTACCTTTTGCCTCCTTTTAGAGCAGTGTGTCTAAGGCAAGCTGAGCGGAAGATCTGAATAATTATTTGTTTTGGTAGGCTGAAACTCTGAAAGATGCATACATGGATTGCACTTATGGGGAAAGTCCCTTAGTTCTTTGGATTTATCACGTGTTGTTGTGGAGTTGTGGTTGCAGACTTGCAAGTTGCAACACATACTCTCTTAACTTTCTAAGAGCCACCATTGACTTGATTACCCATATTGCTATTCAGGGTTACCAAGTTGAGTTCACCCCACCTTCAGAATGTGTATACCCTAGGAGTCCTGCACTGGGTCTTGGATTGACAGCAGCCGTAGCTCTCATGATGGCTCAAGTTATTGTTAATGTTTCAGCCGGATGTATTTGTTGCAGAAAAGGTTCACAACAGTCTACCCATCACTGGACACTGGCGCTTGTGTTCTTCTCTATTTCATGGTAACTCTGTTCTTCTTAACTTCTCCTATAATTCATATTTGGTTAATTTCAAGGAGCTTTAAAAAACATGTGCTCAAATAAACTTTTGTCAAGGCAATCTTTCAATAGGTCACAAATGAAAATCAAACCATCCCACATCAAATAACTGTTACAAGGTCGATATGGGGGAATCACAAACCATAATTAGGTATCAAAGACAGTTAAGTTCAAACAAGAAATAAAACAAAAAGAGCACGAAGAATTTAATATTGGTTTGCTTAACCGAACTCGGGGTGGTCGTTAGCTTATAGGTAATTTTTATTGAAAACTAAAAAGCTAACGAAACCACAAAAAATGGCTTTCAGTTTTCTCTTCTGCACTTTTCAAAACCAACATGATGAACTAGTATGAGTGGTTTTGGTGTATTACACAGCAATCAAAATGAGGCCTGAGTTATCGGGATGTTTCTCTTATCTCACATCAAATAAAACTTAAAACACCACAAATGAACTTATCGAATTGACTTTTATCCACAAGTCTTCATTTACCAACCGTGCCAACAAATTGGCTGTTGAAACTTCTTTGGTGTGCAGGTTCACATTTGTCATAGCATTTTTACTTCTTCTAACGGGTGCAGCTCTGAATGAACGTCACGGCGACGAGAACATGTACTTTGGCAACTACTACTGCTACGTAGTTAAGCCAGGGGTTTTTGCAGGTGCTGCCGCCCTTTCCCTTGCAAGCACTGCTCTTGGTATTGGCTATTATCTAGCCTCAGTTTCTGCGAAGAAGGGAAACAGTCAAATCTCTCCTCCAAGTCAAGCTGGCATTGCAATGGGGCAACCCCGAAATGATGCAGTTTTTGTGCATGAAGATACTTATTGGAGGCGACAACTTCCTTGATTCTCCCCGTTGGTACTCAATGGGCTGTTGTTGTATTAGTAGTAGTACTAGTACTTTAACACTATCTTGTTTGTAAAGCTTGCGACCCGAGAAAGTATTGGGCTCTGTTTATTGGTCTAATTTTGTGTTACACCCATTTGGGCAGTACTCGTTTGGGCCTTTGGACTGGTGGATCCGCTCTTAGCCCACATAATCGTGTGGGGAAAGTGTGGTCCTTGTCCGTAGGCCCAAGCATGCACTACTTGTAGACTTGTAGTCTTGTATTGAAAAACCTTAGGTGAGAACTTGTTTGGGTTTGGGTGTTGGGGGGGAGATGAAATTGGTGAAAATGCATTTGTTATTTATTTAGTTCAATGTGCTAATTGCGTTTCCAATAATTAGTTGTAGTCATCCTATTCCCAAATGGCATTTTAGGTAACAAATGTGGTGTCATCTATGCATGCGAGGTTCGAAAAATGTTTGGTAAAGTGGTTGGGACCACGGAGGGTGTATCCATTATGGTATGTTTGGAAACATGGATTTGGATTTCAAATTCGGATTTGGTTCAAATTTCATGTTTGGGAAACTTAAAAATTTTGAATTTGGATTTGAATCAAAATCTTCTCTCATTCATAACAAAGTTTAATTTGAAATTCATGTCCTCCCCTTGTCATTTGAAATTCAAGATTTCAAATTTTGGAATTGAAATGCATGAATTGAAATGAAATGTTAGTTGCCAAACACTACCTTAGGGAATTTTATACTGTTTTTTTAGCTTCACTAAGACACTAACAATAATAATGATGATGATAATTAACAATTACCTATTGTGATTATAATTGTAATTAATGGAAGGATATTCTCTATTAGATCTAAAATATATTGAGATTGGTCCATGAAAGATGTATATATCCGAGTACAAGAAAGTGTACACAGGGCCGATCTCAAAAAATCAAAAAAATAAATTGGCCCAGTCTAAAATTTACATTTTATGCCTTATTTTATATTTTTAGAATACTTTTGCTTTAAAATTATTAACAAATTTAAAAATATGGTGCCCTAAATTTTAAAGGGTCCTGTGCAGTTGGCCACTTTGCACACCCTCCGGGCCACCCATGAGTGTACAGAATATAGGAACAAGATTATAATTAAGATATAGGCCCACGTATCAATTATGCACAAAGAAAGATTATACTAAGACCAAGTGAGAGATATGTGTGTGTCTATCTATCTATCTATAATATCCAAAATCGTAAATTACCCTAGAGTATGTATTTTACATCCCCGATGAGTTAAAATCCATCAATATTTATAGTCTTAATGTGGCAAAAAGTACTTCAGTTGCATCCCCTTAGGAAGATATCGGGGTCAAGCACGTAGTTGACATTTAATCACGACAATACAAATTCTTTCGTGTACCTAAGATCCATACTTATTTTATGAAGTTTAGTTATAACATAAAAAATGGGTATATTGTAAAACAAAATTTTCACATGCAAACCTAAAAAAATGTGAGAAAGTCCACATTTTTAATATAGATCTTGAGACCATGAAAACATCATTCTCAAGATAAAACGATACTAATATGGAGTTAGGCAACTACAACCACATCACCCTTGCGAGCCCAGGGGCGGAATGTATGCATTTTGACTCAACAACAACAACAACAACCCAGGTGAATCCCACAACAGTAGGGTCTGGGGGGTGTGTGTACATTAACTAGCTACTACTTCAATATAAACTAGATTATTCAGATTATTCATGATGAGCGTCAAAAGTCATTAACTAGCTCTATGTTCTAAACATATGAGCCATGCGGATTGCGGAGTATGTGATTTTGATTACATGTGGTGCTCTTTGAAAAAAGTCTCTTCTACTTTTGAGTAGGAATAAGGTCTGCATACACACATCTTCCTCAAACCTTACTCTTGTGAGATCCAATTGGGTTAGTGTTATCGTAGAAACAAAGTTCGACCACATCACACAATATATTCTCGGCGCCAAGTTGAGATATATTCGAGCAAGACAAGAAGAAACACTTCTATTAGCAGAAAGCACAATAACAATAACAACAAGCCCAATCAAATCCCACATGAGCAAGGTAGGGTTTGAGAAGGGTATGTATAGGCAGATCTTATACCTATTTGGAAGTAAAGAAGCTCTCAGTTGAAAAAGAAATTGCTAGGGATGAAATATGGGTTGGGATGAAGAGAGAAACAGGGGAACAATGGTGGGAGGACACCATGAAAATTTCAAATGCTGTTTATTCTACTAAAAATAGACGGAGTATTTACATCTTGAAGTGGCGTTTCTTAACAAATCGCACAGAGTACCAATCAAAAGGCCCATTTTCCAATACGCACACAGCACACACAGTTAAACATCTCATCTCATCATTCATAATTATAGAATGTTAGTAGCATCAAGTATTCGATGATTTATATTTGTAGCATCCCCATTGTCATTAAAAAAAGACTCCAAAAGGTCCCCTCCTTTTGTGATCGTTGAAGTCTTCTAATGACCCTGACCAATGTGGTGTTGTAGATTATGAAATCAAAGCAAAGAATGGAATCAGCGCAAACAATGAAAGCAAAGCCGGTGTTCAATCAAAAGTCAGATAGAAGACATGACATACCAAGCTGGATCAATCAAAAGGTTGAAGTGCCAACTACTGAGGAGAACCCAGCAGCCTTGTGCTCCTTCAGCGTGCTTGACAACCAGTCAAGACCCTCGTAAAGTCCATCTCCTCGTAGGGCACATGTCCCCTGTATATGCCATTTCCTGTTCCTAAGGTCATACAGGCCCATCCCTTGACATACTTCCAACGGCGTCATCGCCCCTTTCTAAACCAATCACAACCATCATTACCACCTTAGTCCCAACCAGAATTTTGTAGATGCAGAAACTAAGCATTAAGTTGAATATGATTGATTATTGATAGTCCCACAACATACCATGTCCTGTTTGTTGGCAAAAACTAAGATGACTGCATTAAGCATAAAAGGATCTTTAATGATGGCCTGAGCAAAATTAAGCACAGCTGCACAGGTAAGCCAAAGAGGAAGTATCGGGATGACATAGACATACTACTNCCCCCCCCACACACACACAAAAGGAAAAGAAAAAAATGGAAATAAAACATAGAGTAAATCTTGTTTGAATGAAGTTCAAGTTTAACATATTGGCATGATATAACTCTTGTAAGTTATCAATCCTGCTTACATTTTGAAATTGGTTTGTTCAACTAAATTTAACAACTTAATTTGCTTGAACACATTCTTTAGGAAACGTTATATTACATTCAACTAAAATTAGCTTTCTTTTAGGACTCCGTTTTGGGACCAAAATAAGTTTTGAAAATGACTTTTTTTAACGCATGTAGTGATACAGTCTGAGGGAAAGACCAATATTCATAATGCATGAAGAAACACACTGCCAAAGGCTCTATAATCAAAGGATGTACAGTAGACATAATGCAATCCCACAATGTCTGAAAACTTGAACATAACTATACCAGCCCATCTGTATTGTTGAAGTAATGCCTCCAGAGTGGCCTTAGTTTCTCCTGTCCACCAACATCCCAGACAGTGAACATCACATTCTTATACTGCACCTTTTCCACATTGAAACCTGTGTGGCAGTCAAATGTATCATCTATTCACCTTTTTTATTTACATAGATGCATTCTTAACAATACAGTTATTACCTATTGAAGATACTAAAAAAATTGATGTAATCTGAGTTAATATGTCAAAATTTGGAAGATAAGTAAAAATGCATTGATTTCCTAAAATGACAATTATTTTGGGACAATGTTTTTCGTATGAAAAACAAATAATTTGGGACCGTAAGAGTAGTACTATACTCTAATGAAGCCCTAATCCCAAGTACATTGTCATTGGCTGCTATGAAGCATTCAAATCACAATTAGCCTACTAGCAAAATTTGAAGCCGAACATCCACCAATTTATGTATTCCGTATCAAATATTGGCAAGCTTTACCTTCCGTTTCAGGCATCCCACGTAAGGACATATGGTTAAATTTAAGCTTACCATTGACATTTTAAAGCAACCATCCCAAAATTTATCTTTACCAAGCAACGGAAAGCTTAACCTTCAACGTCCCACCTTTCTAGGAAAATTTAAAATGTTAAATGCTATTCACAAGGGAAAACACCTTGCTTTTCCATTCTCTCCCCCTCCCTTCCTTCAACCAAAGTTGCCAAAATCATGAAATTCAACAACTCTTTAATAATGGAAGTACATCTAGGTATATAAGGTCTAGGATCAAAAAGTAAAAATACAGGAAAAGAATGAGCACCGAGAACAAAAAAAGGAGGCTGGAATTAATTGAACAACAATTTAGTTGTTGAAATTGAAAATAAAGGTCAACATAATTGTTCGCAATGTAATTTTTGTGTGTAAAAAAGAAGCATTATATAAATATATATTCTCCTTATAAGAGTTCCAAATGACCAAAGGGTAGTTCCTTGAACCAGTCCTAAACCACACACAAAAACCTAGCAAATAGAACTGACTTACCAATGGTAGGAACTGTTGATAGAACTTCTCCTATGTGAAGTTTATAGAGTATAGTAGTTTTGCCAGCTGCATCAAGCCCTAGCATTACAACCTATATGAATAGATAATAGAAAGATCACAAACCCAATAAGAAGAAGAATATGATTTGTTTTTAAGCACCAAAAGGGAAATTAATGAATACAATGTAAACACACATTTTACTTCCATTTCCCACAGTATGTTGGAACTTACTAATTCTACCCTTCAAACTTCAACAAACAACATACTGTACAGGCAGGTGCCAATAGGATGAATGGTAACTGATAAACATAAATAGCTAAATTGCAGGTTTAGTTTCCCCAAGAGTCTCAAATTCATGAATGAATTGCCTATGTAAAATCATTACAGTATTATAAATTACTTAAACAAAAACACACTTGGGTTAAAACAACAGCCTTCAGCTAGATCATAAGATAAACATTAGAAATAAATACTAAAGAAACTGGAAGTAAATAATACTCCGGGTTATCCAAGAAGCCGCTTGGGATAGGGAAATTAATAAAGTTAACCTGTACCATTAGGTAGATTTTGCAGGCTAAAACCTCAAATAAAACACACAAGTAGCCTAATCAAATCAAATGGAAACAGATGAACAGAAAGCGTGATGAAAACGAGCGTATGATTTCGACAGAGATTACCCTCATCTCGCTGTTGCCGAAGAAGGTATCGAATAGCTTGCGGAAAGCTTGTCCCATCGCGCCAACCGGTTCACGCTCTCCCGCGAATCGGATGAAAACGAA